TTCCATTTTTTGTATTAACTATTTTTAATGATTTTTCACTTATTGTAATGCAAATAGTTGAACTAAACATGTATTTTATTTGTATATTATAAACTGTACTCCGGCAGAAATCACATTTCAATGTTACTTTAATGCTTGTTTTTTATTATCTATATTTTTCTATATATATTTATTTATCTGTCTTCTATAATGACGTTGATTCTACTTGTTTATTAGTTGATTATTGAATTTTTTTTTAATCGTTAAAAACCTCTGTGAAAACTACATTGCGAGTTTTATTGCTCTCATCAGGAATCAGTATTGTTTGGTCCTTTGTTGAACCAATTCGTGAGAGTCCTACATATAATTGGCCGTGTGAAAAGACTTCGTTTCTGAGGTCTACGCCAACTACTTTGAAGGTTTGTCCTTGTGACTTATTAATCGTCATGGCGAAACACATTCTAACAGGAAACTGCAGCCTTTTAAACGCAAATGGCAAATCTGTAGAGACCATAGGTATTCTTGGAATTAATGCTATTTCACCGGCTGCAGGTCCTGTCAGAATGGTTGCTTCTATAATGTAAGGCATGAGACGTTTAATTTGCAGTCTCGTGCCGTTGCAAAGCCGTGGTGGTTTAAGATTCCGAAGCAGCATTATCGGAGTACCAACTTTTAATTTCAGTTTATGTGGAGGCAATCCTGCAGGGTTAAGAGAATTGAGAAACTCAATCGGATAGTGGATGACTTCATCTCCATTTACCATTGTGTCTATTGACTTATATGTTTTACATTCTGTGGTGACTTTTTGTAAAACTATTTCATTAATCTCCTCTGCAGCTGTATTTTTTGCAGTTACGATTGCACGTTCGCAAAACCAATTTGTTTCCTTTTGTGTTAAATTCTGAATATCTGGATAAACATTGTCAATAATTTGATCAATAGTTCGGACGCAAGTTCCTACAATATCAGAAATGTTAATGTAGCCATTCTGCGTTATAGAGATAGAGCCGTCACCAATTTTAAGCAAATACTCTGCAAATTGTTCTAAATTCTTGTCTCCTCGTAAATGAACTCGCATATTAATATTCAGTCGAAGTTTTCTTACATGCTGCCAAATTTCTGATTTTTTCATGCATACTTTCATAATATCCGCACGTGTTCCTTTAGGCACCACTGGCAGAGTTTGCCTGAAATCACCGGTAAAAACAAATGTTACCCCACCCATTACCTTTTCTGATGTTCTCAAGTCTTTAAGAGTTCGATTGACGGCATCTATATGGGACTTGTGCGACATCGTACATTCGTCCCATATTATCAAGGATGCCTGTTGAAGAAGTTTACCAGTAACACCATTTTTTCTCACGGAACATACCGAACTTTGGTCCAAGGACACATTCAGTGGCAACTTAAAAGTAGAGTGGGCAGTTCTTCCACCACTTAGAAGAGTCGCAGCTATGCCTGATGAGGCAACCGCAACAGCGATCTTCTTTTGACTTCTTACTTTCGCCAAAATCAATGAAATGACAAACGTTTTGCCAGTACCTCCTGGCGCATCTATAAAGTAAATGTTACCCTTATTATCTTCGACACTATTTATTATCTCGTCGTATACCATTTTTTGTTCTGTATTCAGTTTCACTTCGTTTTCTTTCAGATATATTTGTAAGTCGTTGATATTGTATACTGTTTCTCGTAAATAAAGTAGTTTATCTATGTTTGAATCATTGCGCTGAGGTTCTGGCAAACCAAACTCTTTCAAGCACTTTTCTCCATGAGTAAACACTATGTCCTCAAGAAGAATCAACCCCTCATTGAAAATTTCCTCTGTGAACTGAACCTCACTATTCTTACTTTTCTGTCGAACCCTATGTAAAATATCATCGCATAGGTGTGTCCGGTATGCATTCCATAATTCTAAAGGATTAGACATTTCACAAAACATTAACATAATGCTAAATAACTCTCTCATTTTGTGTGCACTTTCTGAAATAGCTGCATCTGATAGTGTATCTCGCCAGTGCGTGTCATTCTCAAGCAAATTCCGGGCTTGGCACGCCGCGCGATAAGTGAGCATTATTTCACCATTCACCGTCTTTAAATCATTAAAAGACGTCGGTCCTCTGACGTGATGTAGGAGTAGTCTGAGATAAAAGCATTCTGAATAATTAGGGTGTATAGTATACACTCGCCCTAATACTGTGTCCCGCTTTATACCTGGACAACCATCTACATCTTGGCCCCGTTTTCTCCGTTGCCATTTTTTATTAAACCATTTATAATAAGCCGGTACTTGGTGATAAAGCAAAGTCTGTGCAAATTTATCAACTGCACACAGAGCAAAAAAGGCTGTCAGAGTGGTCTGAGGTGGATTTTCTATAACTTGTTGTAGATTTCTTTCAGTAAAATACACTCTTTGCCCATTTTCTAAATGGACAGATAAATGGACAACTGTAGAATAGCGCTCGTGAATAGAAAATCCTAGTATTCTCCAGATACTTTCAGAGGTACTCAAATATCTGCCATTCAAATAGTTTTGAACCTCATCTTTTTTATTTTCAACGGCAAACGTAGCCGCATCGCTACCTTTATTAATATACTTACATATATATTTGATTGCTTGCACAGAATGGCAATATTCAACGTTGACGTGTGCAACGAAACATCTGGAGAGAATTGGACAATATGGAACTATCCATTTATTATCAACAATGAAGTTACAATGCGATATAGTATAAATGTTTCCACCGTCAGCCGGACATCTTCTTCTGTACTTAGGATATCCATCATCGCCAGTTTGTGTATACTGAAGAAAATCACGGGGATATCTTTTTGAACATGTACCGTTTGACATGCAAGGTGAGGAGGAATTGACGGCTCCACATGGACCGTGGATCATATTCTTGCATACTATGTCGTAAAGTAATGGATCTTCATCCTTATTAGGGATTTCAGCTGAAATAATGCTATCTATTTCATCAGATCTTATTTTGTCGACTAACCAAATTAAAATGTGGGCATGAGGCAAACCTCTCTTCTGCCATTCAATTGAAAACATGTAGCATCGAACTTTACCAAAAATGTCCTTCTTCGTTATGATTTTTATAAGTTGTTGTACTTTTAAGTGAAACACTCTCGCAACAATGTCGTGTCTTTCACTTGGACGTTGACCGGGATATAATTCTGTTTTAACTTCAGGCCATTCTGGATTGCACGTGAATGTGATAAATAAATCAGGTCTTCCGTAATTACGAACATATGTAAGGGCATCCTGTGTCCGCTCATGGAGATATCTAGGTGATCCTGTAAATGTGGATGGTAAAATAACCAGTTGTCCTATATCCGCCACATTAGAGTCTTCATTTACAGCATCTCTCAAATGTATATAATTTTCAGCTCGTAATGTTTTTTGATGTGCCCGAATAAAATTTAATCGTTCAGTAATCATTTTTGCACCCATATCAACGCAATATTGATTGAATAATTGGCTATATCTGTGTAGCGTGTTAAAGCTATTTTCTCTTACCATAAGTTTATACGCATAAAACTGCATACAGGAAACCATTTTTCGAGAATTATCTTGTCCAGTAGTTGGTACTATTTGTGGGATACTGATGTTGTAACCATCTTCGCCTCTTATAAATATAAGAGGGTACTGCAATGGATCGTAAGAACGGTGAAGTTCAGATATTCTTTGAAATGTATTATCGCGTGATCGCAATACTATATCCCTAAATCCACATTCTTCGTCAACCATCAATACTGCGACTTCGTTAGTTGTTGGAGCATTATAACGACCTCTGTGTTCACCAAGCGGTCGCTTTTCAGCATGAATTACAATTTTATAGTTATCTTTGTTAAGTGCTATTTGTTCAATAGCTGTTATAAAGCTACGTACATAACTATTATTGTCACGAAGAATCTGTTGTAAAGTTTTCAAAATTTCTATTTTGAGAGATGGTACAGAATCATGTCGCAAATTTAATTGTTCGTCTTCTGATGTGAAATAAATTTGTAGAAATTGAGCTCTTGTGTCTAATGAAGGTAGTAAACTGCCAATCAAATGATATATTTGGCCATGCACTTTATACGTTGGCATGTAGTTACCTTCTCTAACTTCTTTACCTCCAAAAGATGTCATTGCAAAACATCCGTTGTATTTTCGAATGTTCTTCTGAAAATGTTTTGATCTTGGATCCGTTCCAATAAGTAATTCTTTCAGAATTCCTAATGGTTCATCAATATCATTTAGTTTGACGTGTCCATTAGAGCAACAAATTCCCAATGACTCTGCAGACCATTTTTTGGCGCAACAATAATTACAAACTTTTTCCATTTTTCCCATAAAAAAATCTGAATGACCTAAATAATCATTATTCGATTGATAATAAAACGCAGATCTAGGTCCAATGAATGAATTGAATGCATTTCTCGCCTGGTTTACTTGACATCGTCGACGCTTTAAGCGTTCTTCTCTCTCCGGACTGGTCTCAGCGACTCTAGCCTCGGTATATCGAAATTTTCTTCCTTCTAAGTGCATTTCTCTTTCTGCACTGGTTTGATTAACTCTGACTTGAGAAATGTGCAATCGATTTTGTTCTAAACGTTCTTCCCTTTCAATATTTGATTCGCTAACTCTAGATCTAGACATACGTAAACGTGATTCTAACAATCGTGCCTCCCTTTGAGAAACACTTTCTAAGTTTCTAGCTTGTGTCAAACGTCGAGCGTTAGACGTTGATCGGAAAAGTTGTGTTTTTTTTGCTTTAGGCATTTTCCAAAAATTTACAAAGTAATTAAACGACAACAAAATAAATACCTATAATTATTAACAAAATCAATAATAAATTTAATAAATACCTATAATTATTAACAAAATCAATACCTATAATTAATTACGAAGAAAGTAGTAAAAATAAGAAATTTCTTCTTTTTTCTTTGTAATTGTAGATTTTATTATATGTAATTTTAGATTTTATTATATCATCATTATAAATGTCTCAAAAAAATTACTAAAAAAAAACCAAATGCATCAGCACAAATTAATTAATTATTATTCTAAGTATACCACTCTGATACACTCAGTATGCTACATATAAGCCCTGAAATCCTATATTGACATTAAGTATCAAATTTTCTTTATTTAAAAAAATTATGGAATTGACTTTTCCAATTTTCCAATCATTTAAGTATCAAATTTTCTTTATTTAAAAAAATTATGGAATTGACTTTTCCAATTTTCCAAATTTTTTAATAATATTCAACAACTACGAAATAAACTTTTTTCTAAAGTTTTAATAAACAAACACACATTCTGGTTAATAAGATAAACAATATTGCATCTGTTTTACTGCTTTAAATAAATCAAAAAACAATTTAAAATTAGTATTAAAATATTCAATTAAAACAAAAACGATCTTATTACTCGAATAACTGCTCAGATTGATAAGATAAGTAGTATTCTTTACGTTTCACTACTTTAAATTAAGTAAATAACACTTTATGATTTGATTATATTAAATTAAAAAATATATTATATTTATGAAAACAAAAAATACTTAATATTAAACTTTATAATTAAAGCAAAATCAATTCTATTACCTGAATAACTGCAAACATGAAATAAACGTGAAAAATACTTTATAATATACACACGTTCTTTCTCTCTCTCTTTCTCTCTCTCTCTCCCTTTCTCTCTTTGCTTCTTTAAGCAAATGTAAACTGCAAAATAGTAAAACAACATATAAAATATTTAATAGACAAATTGATAAAAATATATTGAAAATTTATATAAAATATTTAGCACATTCTCGATTTTAATTATTAAATCATTGATATATTGAACAGTTTTCTTATTAAAGCAAAGAATATTTGATATAAAATTGCACAATTAAAAGTAATTTACAATTATAATTATACAATTACAATTAAAGCAGAGAATACATTATATTTATGCTTTTTAAAACATAAAATTGTATATTGTATATATACTTTTCTATACGAACTATTCTCTGATGTAATAAGAAACAAACAGAAAATACAATAAAGAAATAAAAAAATTGAAAAAAATATAATAATATTTTGAATTTAAAATAATCACATTCTTATTATTTAAAAAAATTTAGAATTTAAAATATAACCTTACCTTTCTTAATCACATTCCTATTCTCTCTCTCTCTCTCTCTCTCTCTCTCTCTCTCTCTCTCTCTCT